AAAAAAAAAAAAAAAAAAAAAAAAAAAAACATACGGTCGAATTGAATACCTCCTTCTTTTGGGAAGTCGGTCAATAAACTCTAGTTTTAACGAGAACTGAGTGTTGCCGAAGAACAAAGAGCTATTTTATTTTTAATAAATCCTCCGCAGTCGCGTACAAAAGGGAGTGAAAAGCGCAGAGTTTTCTGAAGTAGAAATGGAATAAGTGGTAATAATAAGCACCCCGCATTACAATACGTTTTTATTATTCATTGTTTTAATGTGTAAAACTATATTTACCTGATTGTCGACGTATAGATAAGTTGTAACAGTAAACAATTTTAGACTATAAAATAAATCTTCTCAATCTATAACTATACTATTATAATAAAGCGTAAACACACACTTCTTTGTTGCCTAAGATGTCAGCAAATACAGCATATTTTTGAATAATTCTTTTATTTATAAAAAGCCCTACACTTACGTCACGCTTTAGGCTATATGTTTCACGCCATTAAACTTAGTAAATATTTTGGATAAAGATCCTAATGTGGGAACGAGACCATAAGTTGCTGCCAACATCAAGGAAGCAAGGTTGCCAAGGTTTGTCATAATGTGATGTCATTTCGAGATTTGAATGATAACTTGACACATGTAAATAACAAAATAACATTTTCATAATTTTATGCGGATGAAGTCGCACGGGAACAACTAGTATCTATATAATCTGTTAACGTTTAGAACAAGATAGTACAAACATTTGGCGTCTCTCCAAGCACTTTATACGGAATTCCAGGTAACAGTTCTGCTCACAAGAGAAACTTTTAAAAGTCCATTTGAAACAAAGTTCTCTAATAACTACAAGAGATAAATTTTATTTATTCAGTGCAACTTTGTTTGTAACTAGTTCATGTAATTGGATCGTTTCTCTTTACAAATCTGCATAATAAAATACATAGTTGCTAAATTGATAAATTCGTTTCGATATTTTACAATCTATACTTCTATACTAATATAATAAAGTGTAAACACACACTACTTTGTAGCGTAAGAAGTCAGCAATTACAGCATACTTTTTAATAATTATTTTATAAATCAAAAGCTCTACACTTATGTCACTCTTTAGGCTATATATTTCACGCTATTAAACTTAGAGGTAAATAAATCATCTCTTGCGATCTCGCGGATCAGCGCTGGTGTTTCGATGGGAGCATCCAGCATTTGTGGCTGAGCGAGGGCCCAATCCTGTCAGCATTGCAACGCTAATTTTAAATATTTTTATTTCTTTTTTTTTATTTCATTAGTTACGTTTCTCATTATTTTGTGTTTAATATTTTTTTTTTCATAATTGTAGTGTTGACAAGGATTAAACATTATTTTTTTTTTTTATTTTAAATTGGATAAACCCCCTAATGTGGGGAAGAGACCATAAGTTACAAGCTGCCAACATCAAGAAAGTAAGGTTAGTATAGTAACGGTCATTTTGACATTTGCAATTGAGAATTTGACAAATGTTAACAATAAAATAAAGTTAGTAAAAAAAGGATGGAGTCGTCTAATCTTGTTTAAAAAGTTAAAATTTGCTGTTCAATAGAACAGCAATCAATTTCCAAGCCAATGAAATATTCAGCCAAAAAAGGTATTATTAAACAAGTAATAAAGTCATTTTGACAGTGGTAGTGCCCGCTTTAACATCTTAGCACTGCAGGGCCGGCACGCCCGGTGTAATACCACGACCACACAGAAGACAGACGTGAAATGGAAGCAATTCCGTGTTTCGTCTGATGAGTGTGGTGCCGGAGGTCTAATTTAAGTCCCTTTCTCTTTACCACCCTTTTGTTATAAGGAGGGGATGCTAAGGGGAAGTGGATTTGATGGTGGAGGAGATGCATAGGTAGGAAAAATATCCTCTTTATGTGCGTCTCCTCCTCCGTCGGATAAGGGTAGGCAACGCATTTGCAATTGCGGATGTCTATGGGCAGTGGTCGCTTCGCCATTTTGGTGGATTCAGGTGGCCACTTGCTCGTTTGCCACCTTATGTTATAAAAAAAAATTCTTCTATGTAGCAGAAAATGTTACTTTCAAGGATAGACAGATTCGTCTACGAGTTAGAATTATGTTGAACTTAAAAAAGTTTGTTGGACTGTAACAAGTCTTTAGTCTCGGAAGTATACTAACAATAATAAAGGGAAGTCTCGTCTCATTAAGTCTTTAGGAAATTGCTTATTCCCGGTTTATCGCGCCCATAAAACGATAACGGTCGTTTTATTTGAATTTTATAACCGGTAACATTGTTTTCTATGCGAATTAGTATTCCGTTAGCGTGCCGTACCTTTTAATTTTATTCGTTCAGTGATAAATGACGATTATTGTTTGTTAGGGCCTGTCCCACCACTCGCTGATAGAGGCTTAAAATGACGTCACTGTCAGATAAGGCAACATCCTAAATTTCCATTACATATTTTACACGTTGGATTGTTATCAGATAATGGACAATTTTGTGGGATAGGTCCTTATTCTTTTATTTAATACTAGCTGTTCCCGTACGTCTTCATGCGCATGAAATTATAAAAACTTTATTTTATTGTTTACATTTGTTAAATTCTCAATTGCAAATGTCAAAATTTCCGTAACCATAATAACCTTGCTTCCTTAATGTTGGTAGCTTGTAGTTTATGGCTCTTTTTTCACATGAAGGTTTTTTCAAATTTATTTACTCTCTTAGTTAATAGTGTGAAAATGTATAGTCTAAAGCGTGTCATAAGTGTGGGGCTTTTTATTAAAGAAAAAGTTATTCAAATATATGCTGTGATTGCTGACATCCTACGCCACAAAGTAGTGTGTGTTTACACTTTATTATATTAGTATAGATCTAAAACATAGAAAACATTACGTAATTAAAAAGTCATATGTAAAATATAACAAAGCACAATTGAGTAAGTAGATGAAAATTTTCTTTATTATTTCTGTAGTATATAATAGTTGAATTCATTTTGTTATACAAGTAATAGATACAAGATTGGGGTTGGACAAATATAGAATGTGGATGTTTCATGCAGTATGTGCGAAGTGCGATTTTGCAATTCGAGTATGGAAATGAATGTAGAATTTCCCAACGGGATTGGGCTTGCAATTCTCGTCTTGCTGCAAATTGTCGATATTGTCCGCATCATCCATCAGCTCGACAATACGATTGTAATATGTTGATACAATGGGAAATTCTAACATCAACTTGTCTGGTCCTATCATTAGGAAGATACATGAGTAGCCTATATGTGTACTTTCATTTTTTAATTCCACGCGGACGGAGTCGCGAGCGAAAGCTAGTGATATTATAAAGAAATATCTTATTGCACAGGAATTTAAAATATTAATGAACTGATACTAAAAAATCTCAGTAAAAGGATGGTTTCTGAAGGATTTTGTAGTATTAGAATATACAGGTGTATATTATGTCTTAACGCACGTGATCGAGTTTCCTCTGTGTTGTCGAGATTGCGTTGAAATCCTACGCGGATAGGTTTCCACACGTAGGTAATTATTTTCTTTGATTGCATTTGATTGAAACTGAAGCATATTAATATTTATTTGCGATTTATTTTGAAATAATAGAAAGGGGGAAAATATTATGACAGTGTTATTAAGTTAAAAACTTTAATACTTCGGACAAATAAAGAAAAATCTTAAAAAAATCGATGTAATGCAAGTATATATAGACCGTAGTTATTCCCGATTAATTTGTGATTTATACTTAGTTCATTCTTAATTAACTGTTGCTCGCGACCTCGCCCACGTGAAATTAAAAAATGTAGCCTATGTTACTCACAGATAAATTACCTTTCTGACGGTATAAGAATTTTCAAAAATGGACCAGTAGTTTTTGAGTTATTGCAATACATACAAAAATTAAAATCTTTCCTCTTTTTAATATTAGTATAGATTTATTCGTAATTTAGTTATACTTAGTACAAGAGTGGAATAACTTAAAGGCTGTTAATTTCTGTTTAGTTTTAAATAATGACATAAAAATTAAAATCAAAATAACTATACGTATACATTTATTTACAACAATTTCCATTTTTCATACTATTCAGATAATTCTAACGTAATTCCTTCAGGATTGGTGTCATTTAATTTATATTTGAGTACATTTGTTTCACATTGTAATCGTTCTTCCATTCCCATTAATTCTTCATCCTCAATTTTATTCGCGAACTCGTAATTTCTACTTTGATAATGGAATATTAAAATTGACACAAACATTATGCTTGAATACATAATAAATTGAGTCTGCTGTAAAAAAAACAAAATAAAAAATTAACTATTGTTGAAATTATTATAATTGTTTTTTTTTTATTAAACTGAATATGAAAGAAATATTAAACTATTCCACTTATTTATTTTAGCAATGTTTTTTATTTCATAAAATTTTGTAGGATCCGAAATTATAAATGCTTACCATCTGCACGTTAACCAACAAACGTGTCAATACAATGATAAGTATGTTGCCAAAAGCTTGCATTAAAATCCAAATAGAACCGATGACAGCTTTCATATTTTCTGGCGCCTCTCGAAACGCAAGCTCACTGCCCGTTACTACGTACATCACCTGAGAAAACATTTGTTTTTTTTTTATAATATAGTATAAGGTAGCAAACGACCAAGCGGCCACCAAAATCCACCAAACTGGTGCAGCGACCGCTGCCCATAGACATTCGCAATAGCGGTTGCGTTGCCTACCCTTAATCGACGGAGGTGGAGACGCACATAAAGCGGATATTTCCCCTTTCTATACGTCTCCTGCACTGTCAAATCCACGTTCACTTCCCATCCTTTTCTTATAAGAAAAAGGGTGGGAAGGAAAAGGGACTAAAGTCGGGCCTCTGGTACCACACTCGCCAGACGAAACATTTGTATTAACTGACGAAACATACTATTTCAAAACTTCATATTATGTGAAATGTGAAATAGACAAAAAATACTTACTTCTGCTATCGAAAGAAATACGATTTGTGGTATTAGTAGTAGTATTGTAATAGAATTTGGCTCCGTGATCAATATCACATTCGCCTTCTGAAATTTATCATTAAATGAACGTAAGTAGCTAACGACAAAGATCAAGTACTCTATACATGAATGAATGAATCATTGAATGAATGAATGATTGAATGAATGAATGATTGAATGAATGATTGAATGAATGAATGACTGAATGAATGTTTATTGCCACAAAAGAAATTACATAAACGGACTTTTTAAGTGGGGACATTTTTAAATAATAATACTTACATAATCGGTTTTATCTTTTGTTAAAATAATATTGTAAACTCCACCGCTTTCAAGTTGTATGTCATTTAAGATATCGCGATCACCAACTTGTATAGAATACTGTGATCTATAAATTTCTACCCTTGTATTTATATCAGTAGCTGATATATTGACTTCTATATTATTTGATTTCATATTATACATTACTATAGGTTCCTTAATTTCTTCCGTAACAAGAAATCTTTAAGAAAAAACAAAGATTAAAATAATATTAACTGGCTTTCGTCCGCGACTCCATCCGCGTGAAAATAAAAAAATAATATAAAACATAGCTTATGTTACTGACAAGGTAACTTTTTAATGGTGAAAGAATTTTTAAAATCGGCCCAGTAGTTTTTGAGCTATTTTATTACAATCAGACAAACAAAGTTTTCCTCTTTATAATATTATAATAGATTAGTTTACAATTGTTAGTTTTAGTTGAAGAAAATAACTTCATACCTTACCATTGGAAATCCTGATTTACTTTTCTCTACATTATCTTCGTAATAATAACTATGATTTGTTGTTAAAAAGAATGAGTTTGCTTTGTTCTCTTCGAGAAATAAATCTTGATGTTTCCTTTTAAAGCAATCACTAACGAAATCAAAAGCGACATTTTCTTTATTAGATATGTTTACTTTGGTGTTTGTAAAATATGAAAGAGGTGGTATTGTATGGGAAATGTTCTTTCCTTTGTTAAATATTGTAACATTGCAATTATTTCCATTGAAGATTCTTAATTGTGAACAACCTGTTTGTGGCAGTTCTGGATACGTTGTCTGAAAACAAATATATGTGGGATTGGAAGATAAAACGATAGACGATGGTGTGAAACGGAACGGATGTACGCGGAAGGAAGTGAGCGGGGATTTTGACAGATGACAGATTGGAAAGTAAGACGACTGGTGTGCGTGCGTGACCTAAAAGTGTTAATTGTGGTTTAAAGTAAATAAATACATAAATACGAAGAATCAGACTTGCATTCGAAGCTACAAAAATAGAATCCCGCATATACACATAATGTAAGAATTAGTTATAAGGAAAACATACTTAAATTATCATCTGGGGCATTAAATGAAATGTAATATTTGATAGTTAAATAATTAATTTATTGATGTCTCGACGAAATCTTAAGCTTATAGAAAATAGTCCGTCAGTTTTTGGGTCTGAATAGCCACTGTTTGCCTTGAAGAGGCATTTACAGATTCACCTGGCTTGATGTGGCCGAGCGCAGATGGCGCTTAGCCTAAACCTCGTTTATGAGTAACTAAGCTCGAAGGCTCAGGAACCTCGGCACGAGCCGTTACTTCGTTATTATTACCGGATTGGAAAAGAATTCCTAGTCCGTCAAGTGGTTCAGTAAAGGCCCGAGCAAGAATACTTTAGAAATTAAAGACAGCAAGTTTAGAAACTTTTTACAGGAGATTTTGTGATTTGTATTTTAAAATGTTTGGGTAAATGAATACCTTAAGATAAGTTTCGACACTGGCGGATGCTACAAACGCCAGTGCTGCCATAATGCCACCCACTTTTAACTTGTTCAAGGGGTTTGTCAATAAATTCCATTTAGCTAAGCATGGATAGAGATACTGAAAATGGCGAAAAACATAAAAAAGAACAATACATTCAATCGTTATTAATAGAAAAATAAATAACACTCAAGAAGAATAACACTAAAGAATAATTAACAAAAATACAAAAGGTATAAAATAATTTTGTGGAATATGTACCTAGTTTAATAATTTTACGCGGAAAAAGTCGCGGGCAACAACTTGTAATCCGTAAATTATAGCATCGTTTACCTTTTGTGATACTGCAATAAAACTCATAACCGATATAGGTGACAGAACAATCAACTGATCCGCTTTGATCGTGTAGGAACCCAATCTGCCATCCATCTTTGATGCTTGTAGCGCCCAACTGGAACCCTATTTAGAAATTAAAAAGCTATAATCAACATACGGATTTTTTACAAAATAAAAATATCATGTAATAGCTGTTGCTCGCGACTCCGTGCGCGTGAAATTAACAAATATAGCCTATGTTATCAACAGATAATTTACCTTTTTAAAGGTAAAAGAATTTTTGAAATCGTCCCAGTAGTTTTTGAGTTATATCAATACATAAAAAAATGCAAATCGTTCCTCTTTATAATATTAGTGTAGACAGGTTTTGGCGGTTAAGTTTTAATAATGTGTTCAAATAAGTCAAACGTAAGTGTTGAAAAACGGATAAAAGCATTAAGCGATTTAGATGCAAATATTATAAGATATCTTTTACAGTCTTTACGATGACAAGAGTAAACAATTACCATTTGTTCTAAAAGCGACCAAAACACCGGAGTTACTAAAAACAATTTCAGTATAGATAACGTCCTCTTTACGTCAGAAATAAACTGATGGCTGTATTTGTGTCGCGTACTGTCCAGCCAATGAGAGTGCTTGTTTTGACTTCGATTTGTTATTTTTAGCTTTAATCCTAGCTGAGAAAACAATGAAAACAATTTAATGCAATTCATTAATTAAAATAATATAAAAAAATTATTATGTAATTTATATTGTACGTATTTATTCGCTTTTTTTCATTAAATTGTATTCTAAAATTGCGAAAGGATTACTGAAATACCTCACAGAGTATACCCAGTAGTAGTATGTACACTAGTTTTCGCCCGCGACTCCATCTGCGTGATATTAAAAATAAACAGAAGAAAGTAGCCTATGTGTTCTTTAAGACTAACCTCTACATCTATACTAAATTTCATCGAAATCCGTTTAGCCATTAAGGCTACAAACTCTAACAAACATCCATCTATAAAAACTTTCGCATTCATAATATTAGTATGATTTAATATATAAATAATAGATAATTAACAACCTCTTCTTAGCTTTAGAGTTTATTCAGAAAACACACTTGTTTATTCTATTTGTCGCGTCTCGCTATATCAGAGTCAAATTATGAAGCAATATTTCCAAACCATGTTGATTTTTATTCCTACTTATATTTTCCTTTCCAAACATACTACAAATACTTACAAAAACACATTTAGTAAAATCAACCACAACATTTCCCTTAGGCTGTCTAATTATATAACGACGTCTTCCGCTCACGAATACCACTGGGAAAAAAATAATAACATTCGATAAAATAAAAACAGAACCACTATTTGGTACACTCGGTTGCATAAATATGTTGCAATATGCGTGATTAGGCACGGAAAACTGGGCGCACACTTTGGACTGCAAAACTGTTGTGCGATTGTCGATTGTTTCGCAGCCAATTCAACCATTTTCCATTAGTTTAGTTAACTACACAACTAAAAATCGAGTAGTGTCAAACCTCACTGTAATCTCATAGAAATAAAATCGAGACTAAACGGTTGTGGAGTAGTTTGGTTTCATGTGTGGGTATGCTCTAAATATTCGTAGTCGGAAGGAAAGTCCTTTAGAAGAGAAAACAGTGCACTATATTTGCTGTTATTAAAACCTACTTACCTATTGAAAAAACAATGACAATCACAGGTGCACCAAACGCTAGTGTGTAACAATCCTTATCGCCAAAGCATTGAAAGTCGCCTCTGAAGATAGGCGCTAAAGTCTTCGCGATAAGGCTGCCTACACACAAGTTGAAATAGAGTATACTGAAGTACAATGTAAGCAGTATCTCCTGCTTTGGTAGAGTAAACTGTTCGCCTCCGAACGCAGTCACACATGGTCGTATACCTCCAGTGCCGATCGCGAAAAGAAATAAGCCCAATAGTGTACATAATCTAAAAATATATTTTTTAAATGATGCTAGTTAAATAATTATAATCAGTACTAATACAGCGTCAGGGATAGCTAGGTTTAGGGGCTTAGGGCTAGGCTATGTTTAAAAAACCGTAATAAACAGAAAGGCTATAGTCCCGTTCAGATAAAAGCATTTGAAACAGTCAAGCACAAAACAACGAGCGTTTGTTCGTCAGTTTCTGGTCTTCTACGAGCTACTTTATACAACTATCAATAGTTCAAGAGTCTCTCGACCTTTACATATTGTTGTTATTATATTACTTTGATGTTAATTGTAAATAATCAATTAATAAAGCTTGTTACTCACCGACCGGGGAGCATTAGCTGCGGTATCGCGGTAACAGCTACTAATGAGTTGCCCAACACGTAAATAAACATCATGTAGAGTATTGTTCTGAAATACAAAACATTTAAACACCTCACGGCCATGTAAAGGATACAGAGATATAGTAAAGGAAGTGTTCTTATAGCGCGTGCACATCTTTGAATAAACAATCGAAACACTGTTGTGGAATTGTCGATTGTTTTGCAGCCAATTCAATTGTGTAGTTGCTTATCTAAAAATCGAGTACTCGTAGTATGCCCACCTTCTTATAAGCTCATAGGAATCAAACCGAGACTAAATAGTTGTGCGATAGTTTGGTCACACGCTTTTATTTTATTTAAAGACGAAAGCAATTATACTTACCGATACTTTCCCAGATAATTGTCAGCAATAATCCCACCGAATATAGGGCAAAGGCTGACCATACCGTTGAACATGTGGTAGATTTCCTTTGCTTCATCGTCGGTGTAATTCAATTTATTTCGCAAATACAACGTTAGAATCACTAAAAAACACAACGGACTATTATAAACGTAATAGAAATATTATTATAGGTTTCTTAGTAAGTGAGGAGTCACGATCGCGAAATAATACCAGTCAAACTCACCTCGAAGTGTTTTAGGGACGAGACTAGTTTTTATTTTATTTTATTTATTTCCTGCTGCTGTAATTCTTGCAGCAACCATGTTGTCTTTGTAGTTTATTTTTCTAGTTCTTTAAGTTCTTTTTTGTTAATTTTTCATTTCATTTTTATTCTTTAGGGGGGACGAGACTAGTTGGTGCTACCAAGTGTACATTTTGTTTTTAAGGCGCATTTATAAATTCACTGGGTTTTAAGTGGTCGAGGCCAGGTGGCGCTTAACCTAAACCTCGATACAGAGTATCAAATATCCCTCGGGAGCCTCGGCTACGGTACGTGATAGTAGCCGTTTTTAATTAGTTACAGCTGTTGTAATATTTTTAGGAAAATAAATTATTACCTCGCATTCCAGAATAGGACATCCGTTCACAGAATTCGGCTGCCAAAATAAATAAAATAATCTTCGGGAAGTGATCACTACGCTGCAAAACATCAATAATCAAAGCATAGATAATACAAACATATATCAAAACATAGAGACATATTGTTTTAGTTAATCAAAAAGGTAATTTAATTCAAAAGAATAGATAAAAACCAAAAAAATAATTTCCTTAAACATTAAATATGAAAAGCTATTAAGAAGTATCAAACAAAACTTATCGACATTATTTTCAATTAATCCTACCTTGTTTCTTTGATTTCCATTATTCTCCATTACTGAAAACAATACTAACACACGAACATACCCAAGAAATAATTTCATGCGAGTATTTTATCAAAATTAAATAATTAATGAAGGTTAATCATATTATAAAGTCAAAATAACTGCAACACTAATTACCAGTTTGATAATTTAATTACTTGTTTTATTATCGGAATTAAAAACTGTATAAAAACATATCACTGGAATTTGGAATACTTATTTAGTAACTAGCTGTCGCCCGCGACTCTGTACGCGTGGAATTAAAAAAACAAAACCGAGTAGCCTATGTGTTCTTCCAGACTATCCTCTACGTATATGCCAAATTTCATCGAAATCCGTTCAGCTGGTTAGGTGTAGCCTCTCTAACTCTAACAAACATCCATCCATCTAAACATTCGCATTTATAATATTAGTATGAAGTATGAAGTATGATAGCTAATCAAGTTTAGACTATTGTTAACTAGAGACATAGAACAAACAATAGAGTAGATTAAATATGACTATTAATTCTTAATTTTGGTTGTAATATTTTTTAAAGCTAACTATACGTCCCCACCGAGTAGCTCGGAGCCTACCCTAATATGGGGTGACGAGGTCATAGTCAACCACGCTGGCCCAGTGCGGGTTGGTTGACTACACACATATCTTTGAATTTCTTCGCCGATATCTGCAGGTTGCATCACGATGTTTTCCTTCACCGTAAGAACGTCGGGTAAATTATGTACATACGAAAAATCGATAATCACATTGGTACATGGCGGGATTCGAACCCAAGACCTGTAGATTACAAGCCAAGTATTCAAATCACTGAGCTCTATGATGATTTTATTAAAAGGATAATTATAATATTTACAAGAAACTTTCAAATACAGTCTCAGTTTATTATTCTATGCGACAAAGTCACGGTAAACAACTAGTCTGAATATAAACTCCAGTACTCTGCGACGATATTATCAAGTATTATTTCTTAGAGGTTAATGTTACGGCTATTAGTCACAAAACTTTTTCAAACCTAATCTATACTCGTAATCGTATTAATTTCAATGTTGTAGTAAATTTTCAATTTCTTTACACTATTATTAACTGTAATAAAATTCAATGAATAACAACACGAAAAGTGTAACATAACACGTATAAAATTACCTTTTATTTCTGGAAATTACCACATTAGTTATTAACCGGACGCGATAATGATCGTTTAGTTTCAAACATTACTTGCATTGGAACATTTAAGTATAGATTTCTGGTTAATTGACAATGTAGGACAGTTGTCTGGTGCCCTAGGGCTCTAGTAGTGGGCACCAGGAGGCTTGACGTCCCGGTGGCGTCATCACTCCTAACCAATCCATAGGCCCTGAGACCATCACAGCTGTTACAAAAGTTATTATCGTTGACTTAATTAATACGAAACAACCATTTACCACTTTAATATTACTTTACGTGAATTTGGCGTGTTCGAGTTAATAAACTGTTTTCTCTTTTATACCAAAGGCTAATGTGTTTTGTATCCTCGACCTAAGTAAACTGAACAATTATTAATAAAACATTCTATGTTCGTGACTTTTGTTCGTGGAAATATTCAGTTTTATTAAATGTTAGATGCATTACATTGATATTATAGTGCAGTAAACAATGAATAATAAACGAAACTACAGTATAATTTATATTAAAACTGGCTTTCGTCCGCGACTCCGTGTGTGGAATTAAATAAAACAAACGTAAGTGGCCTATGATTTCTTTCAGATTATGTTCTATAATTTTCCTAAATTTTATTCAGATCCGTTTAGACTACAAGCTCCTATCATCCTTCTATCCATCTAAACTTTTATATTTATAATAATAAGTTAGATTAGTAGCAAAATTAAATACGAAAGTATATTAACACTCCCATTCTATAAGAAATGTAGATTACATTATGTTAATACAGTGTGGAGAGCGTCGGTGGCTCAGTGGTTTGAACACTTGACTTGTAATCTCCAACTCTTGGGTTCGAATCCCGACATGTACCAATGTGATTTTCGATTTTTCGAATATTCATATGTACATAATTTACCCGACGTTCTTACGGTGAAGGAAAACATCGTGATGCAACCTGCACATATCGGCGAAGAAATTCAAAGATATGTGTGAAGTCAACCAACCCGCAGTGGGCCAGCGTGGTTGACTATGGCCTAGTCACCCCTTATTAGGGTAGGCTCCGAGCCCCTCGGTGGGGACGTATAGTGAGCTGGTGATGTGAATACAGTGTTATTTCGGCTGTTAGGATCCACGATAGTAAAATATCTTTAACTGTCATTTTGTTTCTTTAAATCATCATCATCTCCCCTTCCTTATCCTACTCCCGTAGGGTCGGCGCACCGGGTTTTCGTCCTCCAAAGCATTCTATCATCCGTCATCTCAGTCATCACTCCCTTCTTGATCATGTCACCTTTCACGCAATCCATCCATCTCTTTCTAGGTCTACCTCTACCGATGTACCCCTCTACATTCATAACTAACATCCTTCTTGTTACATGCGATTCATCCCTTCTCATAACATGCCCATAACTAACCTCTTACTCCTTATTTTCTCAACCACTGGGGCTACTCTCAAACTTCCTCTAATATACTCTTGTTCTATTTTGTTTCTTTAAATTATTAGCTTAATGATTTTAGAATGTTGTTTATAAAATTTATCAATTCAATAGTGAGTACATGAAAATAGATTGTTTAATTTCTTTGTATGAACAGTTAGGAAAATATTCTCTGCTTCCACTTACTTACACTGACAGAACGATAATAATCACGTAATTGGAATTTTACAACTGTTGCTTGAGCGAGTACTAACATCCCTAACTCGTTTTATTTACCTATCTAATCTACATCGTATACACTTTAATCATATTTTATACAGTTAAGTGAAGTTATTTTAACAAATTATGGATACACGTAAAATTAATTATGCTATCCTATCCTAATATTTCTTTATGGAAATTGGAAGTTACTCAATAAGCCCGAAAACTCTTTACCGCGAACAACCGCAAAATCAGATAGACACAAAGCACGATAGTTTATAGCCTGTCCATTTTTAGAGGTCACTACTTGGATAGAAAGCAGACGCAGACTACAGGCTATGATATTCTTGATATTGCCAGGATAAAAAATGAAAATCAAAGGCAGTGGTCGATTTTTATTTCAATAGTCTTGCTTATTTTACTCTGTTTTTTAATATGCCTGGTTCAAAATTCTTATTAAAACAGCGTATTAAAAACTATTGTATAAATTATTTTGTCAACTGTAAAGTCCAATATATTTTTAAGCAAATATGATAAGCGGAAGATTGTTTGAAAACGACATTTAGATAAACGTTTTCGTCGCAATCGTTTGCCGGAAAGTTGAATTCGAAGGACATGCATAAATGTTTGTCGATGTGAACGCTTTCGAATAAACGTAAAACATATCGTTCGCGTGTTTCGTATGAAATTTGAATTTAAATTTGAGAGCTTTGTTTGTATTTGCAATACGTTGAATTGGTTTTGTTTGTACGTTGTGATAATAGTTTACATTTATTTGATTACATATATCGGTGGTGAATTGGAATTCTCTACTAATTTTAGATAATTTATTTTAATGGACGGGATAAAAGCTTTTTAAATTTAATGTTATCTATACTATTATAATAAAGCGTGAACACACACTTCTTTGTTGCCTAAGATGTCAGTAATTACAGCATATGTTTTAATAATTCTTTCTTTAACAAAAAGCCTTACACTTACGTCACGCTTTAGGCTATATATTTTCACGCTATTAAACTTACGGGGTAAATATTTTACATAAATACCCTAATATGGGAAAGAGACCATAAGTTGCTGCCAACATAAAGGAAGCAAGGTTGTCATCATGTCATGCCATTTTAACATTTGCTATTGATAATTTGATAAATCTAAACAATAAAATAAAATTTTCATAATTTCATGCGAACGAAGCCGCACGGGAACAGCTAGTATTTAATAATAGATGAAAATATGAGAGTGTTTTTTACTATCAGAACCTTTGTAAAAATTACCATCCTATTTCATCTTGAAATAGTTAAGACAATAATATTTGTTGTACCAGTGTCGACATGAGAAACTGACACAATTCGGGCTGTCAAAGAATAACAAAACTAACTTCATAATGTTGGACAAACTAAAGTTAATTACATTAGAGATTTAATAGGTAAAGTTTAAATTGATGTTTCTGTACAATGGCAGATGTTACGGTTACTTATTTAAACGTTAATTAGTTAGGTTACTAAGGCTAGTGTCGACTAGAATTTTATTAAAATTATGCTTTAATGCTGTGTTTGAATGGTTACTAAAAATACATTTTTATGTTACATAAACGGTCTCCCACGACTTCGTCAGCATAGGAACAAGATCCCAGCCGTTTTCGAAGATAACTTGGTACAAACGGTACTGGATATAAAGAGAGACGAATAATTTTAAAAAAAATCATCTTACATCTTAGTTATATTACAAATGCGAAGGTTTAGATAGATAGATTTTTGTAAGAGTTTGTAGCCTAAACCGCTCAACGAATTTGGATAAAATTTGACATTAACTATCCTCAGATTGGAAAACCAGGCTGTTTTTTTTTAATTACACGATGACGGTGTTTTATCATTTATTTATCTTGGCTGTCGTTACCTTTAACATGAAGCAAAAACATACTGTCTTAAAAATGAGTGGTTTCTTTAGAAAAGTGTCTACTAAGTTCATTTCCCGTGCTACGAGTAGTGTAGGTAGACATTAAACTATAAAAATGAATGACTCGCTCAACTTTATTACAAATTGCGCAATTTAAACAACTTTATAGATTTAAAAAGTGGGTCGCCTTACGCTATCGTATTGCAATACACTAAACTTTTACTGCTCTTTATAAAGATTTTTATCAACTTGTGAGAAATGTTTCTGTAGAGTACAGCGCAGTTACTGACGACATCGACATAGATTAATCTATTTCAAAGATTTAATTTACTTACAAACTATTACTTTTCATCTCCTTTTATAATGTTCATGATATTTAATTTTTTATATGCTCAGTTAAAAATCTCAATCGCTTAACAAGTTCATATAAAATATTTTACTAATTTCGCTAATTCCAGTAACTGTTCTTTCGTTTGTCTCCTTGTAATATTAAGATATTTTATTTGAAAACTGTGTATATATATCTGGACAGATATTTCCAATAAATTGTATGCTTTATACAAATATATTTTACAACATATTTTAAAAATTAACATTATTGACAAATATTTCATTATGAGATTTCGCAATTCAAAGTGATGAGAAAATTTCAGAATTATTCCTTTGAGGCCTTTGAATTGGAATAAGCTTGTCGGAATATTTTATGTCCTCGACAAAATGTAGAGGTTATTGGGCAAAGGGGGCGCCACAACTCGGGGATACAAAGTCTATCCCGTGTAATTGCAATTCCGATGTAGAACCGTTACGTTCAACTAACAAAAGGTTACCTTTACCTACCCTATACAAAATACTTAGGCAATATCCCAAATTAAAACCCCCAATCACTATATTAATCAACAAAACCCTTCATAACATAATAACGAAACATATCAGGTAAGGGTCAACGACTCGTTTATTTCTTGAATAATAATAATAATTTTATTTGAAATTTAAAAAAATGTAGCCTATAACATGCCTATTCATGTCAGCTACCTACCAGTGAAAGTCCTGTCAACATCGGCCCAGCCGTTTCGGAGATTATTCGGAACAAACGCGGCTTGCGGACAAACAGACAGACAAAAAATTTTAATGCGATTTTCGTTTTGAGCAATACAAATAAATCAAATTCCCGAATTTTTTTTTTGACATCACTAACATTCCAATTTCATTATATGTATAGATTTTATTTAAAACATCGATGACAAGTCAATGTGAAAAAAGGTTTTTCATACCAGTGGAAAGTAATTTCCTTTTTCATGAAAATTAAACATCAGTAAAATGTCAGATCTAAGTAAAAATGTCCGTTTCAGCGATAACAGATCAAAAGGATAAAAATGAAATAACGTTATAAGTTTAAAACTTTTATTTTCTCCACTCCTTTCATTTTGGTACGGCAACTTCGATTTATTCGTAAACAATAACTGGCGTTAGTGAGCCCACACAATACATACCCGGCCTGCGCTACTAACTGCTTAAAAGTAAACCAGGCGTATTTCAGACTAGCTGTTGCCCGCGACTTCGTTCACGCAATATTGAAATAAAAAATTTCAAATGCGATTTTCGTAATCAGCAACGCAAATGCATCACCTTTCCGAAATCTGGAATTTTTATTTTGATATTATTATACAAAAAGACACTCTAATTTTATTATATCTATAGATATTCCATTAATAATAGTAATCAGATAGCAGCACCCGATCAAGCCGAGGTCCCCTCTCGGGGGCCCTTGTGTCTA